TGTTTTATTAATAGATATAATTTTTAAGATAAAATAACATTAAAATATTGAAATTAATTATTAATATTATTTGAATAATTATTATTTATTCTAAATTCTTAATGATACTAAATTTTAATTATATCTAAATAATCTTAATTTTTTCACACACACACACATACACACACACATATATATATATATATATATATATATATATATATATATATTATCAATATTATTGGATTTTAAAGTTTTAATATTGGATAAAAAATCAAATATTTTGTTTCTATATTATTATACTTAATTTTAAAATTATTAAAAATAACTCTATAATTATTTATTTTTATAGAGTTAATAATAATTATTTAACCCTGTTTCCTCTATTTTTGTCTTTTTTCATCCAATCTCCATTCTTCCATTCTCATTTCTATCTCATATTCTCAATTTTCAATCTAAACCCTGTTCTCAACTCTTATGGTTGTGATGTGAGGGGCTGCAAGCATGGTATAGTATTTATTGGATGATTAAAGGCTATGGTGAAGATTAGCACCTTCTTTTATTAAATTGCAATGAAGACACTCCTTGATCATAAAACCTAATGAAAACACAAAGACCAAAGTCCCTCTCTCTTTAATCTATAGATGTATGTGTATGAGTGAGAGTATGTGAGTGAGTATGAATGAGAGTATGTAAGTGAAAAAATAAATGAATGAAGGAATGAATGGGTGACATTGCAAAGTAATAGTTCTTACTTCACATCTATACAAACAAACCATTGTCATGTTATAGCCTCAATCTCTCTAAGTTACTACTACTCAAAAAATATCAAAAATTTATAAGATGTACTTTTTAAAGTAATAAATATTAAGATCTTACGTAAAGATTGGGCTTCTATGAGATAATATCTAACTTTTAAAAATGCATGTTCTAATTAATAAATGAATCTTGTTTTATAAGCTTAATTTTTCTTTAAGAATATTTTCCTATACTTCTTATCTAATTAAAAGTCCATTCTTTTTTCTTATATACTTATCTATTATTGATTTAGAGATATTGAGTGATCAGTTACCTCAGTTCTTTGCTAAAGAAGAGTGAATGTAGCTACAAGCATCATTGTCATGATATAATACGGCTAACAAGTGAAAGGGTAAAAATAATATTATATTTTAGAAGATCTTATTTTAAAATATTATAGAAAATAATCTTAAAAATATACATAATAGTAAAAAGATAATTTCTATAGAAATTTAATTTGACTTGATCAATATTTGATTATTTTTATTAAGTTTTAATTACATTTTATATATGATTCCATTATAATTCTTAGGACTTATTATTGTAATTTTTTTTTTTATCTTCTATAATCAAATATTTAGTGCATTCTCAAGAAAGACTTCATGTAATATGATACGATTCATGCAATTCAATGTGCAAATATTGTGATGCTAGACAAATGACCTATTAACAATTGTCTTTGGAGTACTTTCCTTCTAAGCACGTGTGCATTAGCGTGAGCATGATTTTTTTATAAATTATATCCAATGCTTACAATCCATTATTGAAATATAAGCATCATTCAATTAGAATCTTAATTTAATAGATTCTTTCATTTTTCAAAATCACTAGCTAGGTTGAATCTTTGAGTTAAAAGTTTATATGAGTTGATTAGTTTCATTTCTGGATTTGAAGATGATATACAAAGAGATTTGTAGTAGTATCAAAGTAAAGATCACTCACTACAAAAGAACAATTTTATTGTTGGATATACACCTTTGTCTATGTTTGAATAATATCTATCATAATTTTGTTGTTATTCAAAGGAAACTTGCAGAAAGTGAGTTATTGCAAGGTATGTAACTGAGTATATTCAAAGATCAAAACTTCCATCACATTTCTTTCTATAGCTTTTGGAGTGAGTAATTCTTACAAAATATATCAAACCTACTTATGTCCTCAAGTTTGAAGTTACTTTGGAGGGTGACTTCTTTCATTTTTCACTCTTCCTCTCCATCATGTCTCCTTCTCTCTGTTTGTTCTAATAATGATCTTTAATAGAAGATTGGTACTTGTATTGGTTTAAATGCTCAAAGTTGAAAGAATTTGGCAAGTTATTTGTTTATCTTGAAAGAATTTGGCAAGTTATTTGTTTATCTTGAAAGAACCTCCTCAATATTGCTACTCTCATTCATGTTGTGCAAACTAGAGTTATTAGAACTTTTATAAACTATGTCACTAGCATGGAGTTCCAACATGGTGAGGTCTTATGTACCTTAGATATTATGACAATGCACATTGTTTAGAGACTTCATTAACTCTAGTCTTTTTAGACCAATTTTTATGAATTCATAATAGAGCAAGAATTAAGCTAATTACATATATAGTAGCTACAAAAATAGTCAAATTATGATAGAAACATAAATCTAAAAATACTCAGTTAGATTTTTTTCATTCAAAATCAGTAGTGGCATTGAAAGTGAAAATCAGTAGTTATGGCTAAGAGGTGTCCTCAGTACTATTCAATAGAGGGAGCTGGCCAATCCTCACCACAACCTTTGATTGCCTAACAAATGCCACACCACATTCATGGACCCTCATGTCACCACAATGAGAGTTGGAAACGGGCTTTGGATTGAGAATTGGGAATGGGGGGTCCAGATGAAAATGGGGGAATGGGTTGGGATGAAAAAAGATGAAAACGTCATTTTTAATTAAATTTCATACATGACATTTTAGATAATCATATTCAGCACCACCAAAGCAGGGCTAAATGCACACTACTCCATAGGATCTGCCAACACTGTTGGGGGAATCCACCAACACTTGGAAGATGGATATAATATCTCATCCGCACATTCATTTATCCATTTTCCATCCTCTTCAGATTTTCCCACTTTGAGGAGAACTATTATGTTTGACGTGACCAGTCTGTGAGAATGGTATTGCAAGTGGTTGTAGAAGTTACTAAAAACATAACAAATTACGTCCTCCAATCCCCATTTGCAAGCACAAAGAAGGCAAAAAATGCCCTTCCTCGCAACTTCCCGGCTCCCGGACGACTCATTGTGCCCGTTAGCACCGTTTTCGTTGCTGAGGTGTCGCTTGCCTCTGTGCCAGGTCATCTTGACACTGGAGGTGAGAAGCAATGGCGATGTGACACCAGGGCTCGTCAGCTTAAACGCGCTCTGCTGGCAGTCCAACTCAGCCGCGATTTGGGGTGCGTTGTTGGTACATATTAGCCCGGAAGTGACCACGGAGTCCCGGTATGATTTCCACGTGTGCGGAATATTCAACAGGAATATTACGACACCCACTTTGTGGATGCGTTCTGTGCAACTGATGAGGTATGGGAGCCGATCTCGCCTTGAGCCTTCATCCCAGGTCCCCTGAGTACTGACACTTTCCTTTCAGGACCTGGATGGTTGTGTAGGGTTGGGGGTGGGGGAGGGAACTTGCACGTTCCCCTTGTGTGTTCCAATATGTCGTGAGATAGCTACTGAATCAAACAAGATACTTGTGTAAGAAAAGCTGTCTACATTTTTTCGTGTTTTAGATTGTCAAGTATGTAGTGCATGGGATTCTATTTTATTTTATTTTCTGTAGCTATGTTATTGAGATTATTTCGTAAATGAATGTATATGTATGTATTTGTTGGTTGTTTTTTATGTTTTTGTATTGTGTTAGGTGTGAGTGTCAAATGTTTGTTTGACTTGGATTAGATATGACGAACTAGGTCCACAAGAAGGTGGGTCCTTGTTAAGATGATACTACACATCTCCATCTAAGATAAGATTGGAACACCCTGTATAATTGCCTTTTTTAAGGGCATTATATGCAAATTCTCTCATTAAGTAGCAATTGGGTAAACTATGTGATGTACCATTTGTAACTATTTTTTTTTTGTTCGATATTTTGTAAGACCACAACACAAGTTTAATATAAAAAAAATATCGCATTCAATGCATGTGCTTATAAAATGGTAAAAAATTAAAATACATTAAAAAAGTTCATTGTCATTATTATTTTTGAAAAGGTCAGTTTTAATACTTTTGAATGTTACAAGATGAAAAAGCCACAAGAGCATTATTTTGATACTAGTACATTTTTTTTGTTGAACATCAAAATAATACAAGTTTTGATGAAATGCTTTCTGTGACTTTCTTGGTTCATTCCTCATGCAAAAATCGATTACTCTAGTTCATTTAAGTCATATTACCATCTTTAATCTATAACAAAAACAATAAAACCCACTCACCTTTTAATCCAAACATATTTTAAGTACCAATCAACTTACATAAACAAGGTAATAAATGATACAGCACAAAATATGTCTATAAATTTGAGAGGTTAAACACGTGTCGAAAGTGGACAAAGAACTAAATTGTTGTAAAAAGATGGAACCTAATTGCATCGAATATTCTCACAATTCAAATACAAAGTAAAACCATTGTGATATAGACCACTTGAAACTAGCAAAAGAATGAATTCGTCACTGTTCAAAGCTATAATCCAAAACAAAAATTAAAAAGTGAAATAGGGTCAAGCCATGGACAGATCCGGAAGGCGCCAAGATTGTCAAATGGTGGGGATAAGAAGTGGATTAGGCGGGGCTGGAATACGCAGTCATTCCCATGTTGGTCAGACTCGGGATGAAACTCAGGATCAGCGCGTGGCAGTGGACCGACAAACTCCATTCCGCCAAATCCCCGTTCCGCGGGTTTCGCTCTGTCTATTTGCCGGTCTTTAACTCTAGGTAACGTCCGGTCCCGTTAACGCCGGGAAGTAGATGGAGATCAAGGAGACTCAATCGAGACCCCAAAGTGTTTTGGGGATTTCGATTGCGCGGGCTGGGGATAACGGGGTACCGTGCGGTAGCTCTCTGATTGCCGGGCACCGGCATGTGGGGCTGGCTGTGGACTTTCCGGCCCTGCCTCGCCGATCGGTGTCGCAATCGTCGCGGGCTGTTGGTTGGGGTCGCTCCTGCTCTTTTTTCTCCTGGAGGTTGCTCTTCATGCGGATAGCATCGTGGATGAGAGAGGGCATTGATAGTATTCTGAAAGCAGGTCGCGCGCTCAGACGATGGCCGGAGCGCCGGCCGATGCGCAGGGCAGCACCACGCTCAAAGCACTCGCCCCTGACAAGATCTCCACTTGCATCCTGCAATCCACCCACCTGCGGCGTAACTCCGCCCACACCGAGGTTTGTTCGAGGTTTTTGCTGTTGGGTGGGTTGGGGTGGGGGTGATGAATGGGTTTTTTCTTGGAACCCTAATTCGTTTCTGTGGTCGATTTGTAGTGGGCTATCTGGCGTCTTGGATGTTGGAAGTGGTGCGATCGTCGGGGGAGGTAGGAAGGAGGACACTGTAGTTGGGTTTAGTGTGGTGGCGCAATTGCATGTGAGGCGCGTTCTTGGTGCGATGCTGGAGGTTTAGTTCGATGCAGGGGTGCGTTGATCATGGTGGAAGTTGGTTGCTGGGCTGCCTGTCGATGGAGGTTGGTGCACTGTAGGTACTGATGGTTCGGAGGATTTGAAACGTGGATCATCACCTTGTCGAGTGATGCAGCTCCATTGCTCTCTTCGTGACTTCGAGTTCGTTATTTGTGCGGCAGTCGGTTTTTACTGTCGCATGGCGGTATCCGATGTCTTGGCATGTCTCTGCAAGTTTGTCGGTTGTTTGGACCTGGAATAGACCGCACTCTCTTGGTTGCATCTCTCCCGTAGCCTGACGCGCGCGCGCGCGCGCACACACACATACACACCCTCCTCCGCTCCCTTTTTGTTTATGCCTACTCACCATAGCCTTTTTATTCAATTGGTTGGAAATATCTCTTTTTGGATGATAGTAGTGCTCTATGGGATCTTCGCGCTTCCTGTTCGGGATGATGGTTTTCAACAGTTGTGGACCATATCTTTGAGAGACTTGTCTATTCTGTCTTTCGTCCGTCTTTGTTTTATCATCATTTATCCTGCACTACTTTTGGAACATTGTTGTTGCAAGGGAAATTTTCATTTTGATGTAATGGAACCTCTAGTGGTCACTGTATCCGAGAGCATGCCACGGTATGCTACTGTGAACAAAATGCCGGTAGATGTCTTTGTCGATTTAGATGTTTAAAATACTCTAATAGTTCTCGTTCTCGTACTGTCTTTATGTTGTCAGATTGTAACTAAGGGCCCAAAGGATCTGTCCCTCAAAATTCCAACTGCCAAAACCACGGGTGAGGTAAGTCCTTGCATTGAGATATTTTCTGCATAATAATCTTATTCAGGACTTCATTTGTATATTCTGATATAGCGCGTTACTGCATAGGAGGAGGGTGTACTCAACAATTATGATCATTGGGAACCTCTTTTGTCTTTATGGGCGTGTAAGTTTTGGGGTCTTGATTGTGCACGCGTCCTAATTAAGCAGCAGCCGAGATTTCCCGAATTTGGAGAGGTCATCGATTTTTGGTTTTTTAACGTTTTGTTATTATCATTATATTTTCCCCCAGCTTCTGGAGAATATGCCATCTGCAATGGCAGCATTCGATTCTCACCTTGATAACGCAATTCGAAGGTAAATCAAAGCAATCCTTTTTAATGCTAAATTTTCTCTGCATAACCCAAGTTCCCATAGTTTGTTTTTCTTAGTCTAAATCTGTTATTATGTACTCTTCTTTAACATGTTTGAAATTCACCTTGAAAATACAATTGCAATTCAAACTGTTCAAATTCTCATCTCGAGTGATTGGTGCAGTTCATCAATGCTGCAAGAGGTTCAATCCATTGTTATCGACAACCCACATATCCCACCAATTTCAAATGCCGTGCAAGATACAAGCAGTGATCGTTGAGTGATTTGGCAATCTTTCTGGAGTCCGTATTCATTACTGGGAGATGTGGTTTTTGGGACAGTGAGCACCGTGTTCATCCATTTGGGACTCTCTCATCGTTCCCTCATTCATGCCATAGTCATTGGGAAAGTTCCTGCTACTTCGGACCACATGCGGATAGCTTACTAACAAAAACTTAAGCGGATTCTTCAGATCTTTGTCTACTTTAGTTCGTTCTTGCATGATAGTGCTCTAGACAGCCCGTTTCAGTTGGTTTTAGGCGCTTTTACGATTAGAAAGCTCTTTAGAGGATTTCAGAATGTGTGGGTGCGGCCTGCATCTTTCATGAACGAGGGCGCTTAATCGCAACTTGAATTCAGTTTTTGCTCATTACCCTGAGATTCTCTTCGACCTGAAGTTGCGAGGGCAGAGTGACACATCTCTTCGGGAAATTGAAGGAAAAACTGCTTAAGTCGAAAGCAGGGTCCCCTGAGTCAATTGTTTCAGCAATTGCAGTGTTGTGCAGGCAATGGGCTTATCCTGGTCATGGGATAGACATCATTCAAGCCCCTTTAAATTTAGTAGGAGATTGCTATGGGTATAGGAGGTGGGAACAGTGGTAGCGTCCCACCAGCACTTTCGCAACCCCCAAGGTGTCCTGTGCCAGTAAATATTTCTAGCGTATCGCCCTTGCAGTACGGTCGGGATGCTGTAAGCTTGCGAAACTCACTATCTGTTCCAGCATTTTCAACATATTTGAAGGTTGATCCTCCTGTTGAAAGTTCTGGTAATGGAGCGAGCACTGTGCCGGTTGCACCAAACCTCACCCCATTACAGACTAGAGAGGGGTTTCCTCCTCGAGTGCCCAAGTCCAGCAAGACTGGAGCAACTGGGGGTCTACCATCCAGTCCTAACTGGTGGTTTCCAGTGAAAGCAGCCACTGGATTTCTCTGTGCCGCAGTTTTGTTACTATATTTTGGGTTTCTTTTGGGGCAGTCGTATTGGAAGACAGATGCACTTCAATACGCTATAGTGATCGATGGCGGAAGTACTGGTACTCGAGTGCATGTTTACGCTTGGGCGCACTCACCGAAAGACTCTCTTCCTGTGATGGTTAAACCTACTTACAGCCGTGATGATAGTGCTCCGTGGTATAGGGTTCCTGGGCAACAGCGGGCCTACAAACGTGTGGAAACAGAACCTGGATTGGACAAAACACTGAATGATGAGATAGCTGTACAGCACGCACTCCAGCCTCTATTAGACTGGGCGGAGAAGCAGATACCTCCTTATGCCCGTGGATCAACAAGATTGTTCCTCCTAGCTACTGCCGGATTGCGGAGGTTGCCTAGAACCCAGAGTGACTCTATTCTCGATAGTGCATTTTCGGTTCTTCAGAGATCTCCTTTCATGTGCCAACGTAAGTGGGTGAAAGTCATAAGTGGTGTAGAGGAAGCATATTACGGTTGGATAGCTCTCAATTACAATCTGGGTCGATTGGGTCATACGTCTAAGGTGCCAAGTGTTGGGACATTGGATCTCGGGGGTTCTTCGTTTCAAGTAACCTTCGAGCCAGAAGGGGTCACTCAAGCGTACGGTGTGAATATCAGTGTTGGAACTACAGATCACAATCTTTATGCGGTTTCCCACGCGGGATATGGACTGAATGACGCATTTGAGAAATCAGTAGCGCAGTTATTGCGGCCACAAGCGTCAGGATATAGTGCGGTTGTAGCGGCTACGAATGGACTGGTAGAGCTGGAGCACCCTTGTTTACATAAAGGTTACAGGAGACCCTATGTGTGCTCCACTCATTGTATGTTGCCACCTTTGGCATTTGGAAGTCAAAGTGATGGCTTGAGGGACCGAGTTGCCCAGGTGGAGTTGGTAGGAGGTGCTAATTGGAAGGCATGTCAGGCGCTTGTCGAAAAGGTTGTAAACAGCTCACACATGGAGATTTGCCCTTCTGCCTCCTGCGCTCTTGGGAAATATCAACCATCATCTGAGGGTAATTTCTATGGGCTTGCTGGATTTTTTGTTGTGTACAAATTTTTTGGATTGAAAGGTAATGCTCCGCTAGGAAGGTTACTCAAGAAAGGACAGAAGTACTGTGAACTGAATTGGAAAGAAGTTCAAGCGAAAGTGGGTGCGCAGCCCAGTATTGACCAGTATTGCTTCCGAGCCCCTTACGTCGCTGCTTTGCTACGACAAGGCTTGCACCTTCGAGATGATCAAGTAACAATTGGTTCAGGAGATTTTGCGTGGACACTTGGGGCTGCTCTATGGGAAGCTGGTGCTCTGATCCCTGTTCAGACAGAGGCAGAAAAGATTGTCCAAGCCAGTTTCTCAAACACTCGGATTGCTGTCTCAGTTGCACTCCTTCTGTTGTTATTTCTCATTCTTGGAATTATTACCCGCCATCTGCTTAGAATACTGCGGCCACGACGTCGGTCCTATTCATATTTGCCCCGCTTCAATTCTTTGACATCTGCTCCAGGTGGCCCTCACTGGATACAACTCCCGTTGAGGACACACGGGCGTCTCGGCGGCCTCACGGTGAATGGCTTTGGACGTGGTGAGCTAGGTCTGTCTCTTGATGGCTTTGTTAGCCAGCTGCCTAGCTCAAAGAATGATGTCAGATGTTATGATGTCTACACGTGTATCGCTTGTATCGCATATTTGAACTTCAATCTTCTAGCTTAACCTTTTTTAACGTTTGTATCTTGCAGGTGATGATGGAGTCAAGATGCCACATAGTCCAGTTCCGGATGTACATGGCCTTCACAATCCAGCTTTCGGCTCCGTAGCATTTAATGGCTCCATTATCGATCGCGAGGGTGTACAGTTATCAATCACTGGCATTGGAGCTACGGCACCTGACCGTCATCAGAAATCAACTGGGAAAGTTCAGCACAAAGGAGGCTATCTGCAGAGTCGACGGACCCAGTCCCGCGAAGATCTTAGTTATTGCGTCTCAGACCTCCATGGTGCTAGAGTCTGAGAAAGTGAGTTTCGCTTTGCCAACGGCTTTCACCATTTTGTATTTTATAAATCATAACATCTACCACTCTTTCAACCCATGTCTGACTATGTTCCGATGATTGCTTAACTGAGCTCTCAGGTGTACTTTGTCATGGCTATTTCTGGTTTTTACGTGGGTGTCTTGATGTCAAAAAAATATTTGGTTTGGGTCATTTATGGAACACAAAATGGGAATACTCTACCTGTCACCACATGCACTGGCTTACGACAATCCGTTCAAACTGGTTGAGAGTTTTGGGAATCCTCTCAAAGTACTGTTGGTGTGACCTCTTTCAAATAATCTTATAACCCTTCCGACCAAGCTTAACAGTTCAAGGACTTGGGATAGAAGGTTTTAATCTTATGTGATGTTTGGAAAACTATAAATAGTTGTTCTTTGCAAGTTTTGTAACATTATAAAGAACAATGAAAATTCCCAAAGTTTTTTTTTATACATAATTTCATTTGTGACCAACAAGAGTTAGTAGATAACTATATCAAATTAAGATTTACTTGTACAAGAAAACATAAATTACAGCTATGTTTGTTATCAATGTATGAGTCCTTATTCAATGTATGGCACAATCAATGGCCATTAAAATGCACCAATTATCTATGCAAGTTGACATGAACTTGATTGGATCTATAATCCGAACTCCACTCCATAAATGATTTGAATAGAAAAATTGTAATAAGTTGAACTAGTACCATATTAAACAAGTCACCAAATTATTGACACTTATTACATGATTTGCAAAAAATGAACACATCATTGACAAAAGAGAGGCCTTCTATTGTAGGCCTTCTATTGTAGGTGCATAGTTTTGTGCTTCAAGATTTGGTTTTAAACCTAGTTCATAACCAACCTTCTATGGGTTTTGATTTAAGATTTATTTAAGTAATTATTGGTGATTTTTATTCTTTATTTCTACTTTAAGATGCTTGTAATACTATTTTTTCTTATCTATCTTTTTCAAGCCCTGTTTATAGTTCTATATACCATTTAAAAGTTTTTATTTTTTTTAAAAAATATTAGCATTCATTAATTTTAATACCTCGTTTAATATTATTTATGATTTTAAAAATAAATTTCTGATATATATTAAAATGAACTCTTCTTTAATATAATACTTTTCTTCTCTTTTACTTAATAGTCATCTTACAACACAATAATAATACCAAAATATATTTGAATATCTTATAAATTAATGCAAACATGATATTGGTGGACACATTGTCAAAGACACAAACATGAAGAAGATACATAAACTCATGGAATCTATGTTAAAAGGAAAGTGACAAAATAAAAGAAAGTATGTATATTCAAGAAAGAATTGGAATGGCTATTGTCAAAGACTAAAAAACATAAGACTCTTGAAACTAAACTGAAAGCAAGAAAGGAGTTGACAAGAATGAGGAAGGCCTCACTCTTGCCTCTATATATACTACTTAACTAAGAACTATGTGGTGACATGCTCTAGGACCTCTAATACGCATCCAACTTGCAGGACATATGTCTAATTTGCAAGGCAAGTTTCCTAGGTGTGTGCCATATGTCCAACTTTTACTACAAGTGGTGAACATGTTGACACATGGCCTCTTTGTTGGCCAAAATTTCAACCTACCAATCACCTATAGACATGTATAAAGGCAAAGCAACATCTATGAAGCTTCTAGGAAGCTTTTCACAAGATAATATCATATTTATCTACTTTGACTTATTTCTACCTATTCTTATTATCTAGATTATTATCAAGATAAATATGTATGTTTGTGATATTATCCCCCCTTCTAGAGATGAGTTCCACGTGGAACAATGATTATATATTGATGAAGCCCAAGATGTGCCGAACTATATTTGCCACATACTCTGACCTTTGTTTCCTTCAAAGGTAGTTGATAGATTCCTTCAACCATTGATAATGTTCCATACCACGGCGAGAAGACCACCCTAATAATTGATCAATATTGAGGCCTTCATTACTTCTTTCAAATAAAACATTACTAATACCATCAAGAATGGTTCTTACCTCCAAAAGTATTACTAAACACCGAGTGTTCCTTCCAAGGTCATGGTACCAAACGCATTATATCTTGTCATCTATTCGAGGAAGAATATGTTGTTCTTGAGGATCTTCATCTCAATTTTGCTGTCTCAAAAGTTGTGATAGTTGCAATGTCTCGTCTGATAGCTCAGTAAATGATAGCTTTTGAGTTGAATCTACTGGTTGTTGATTCTCTATCTCATAAGCACTAAAAAATCCAAAGAAACAATGATACAAGATAGAATGAAATTGCCATTGGGCTTGCTTTATTTTATAGCAAAGAATTTCATGACTCTTCATCTTGATTTTAATGGATGTCATTGATGAAAAGTTTTAAATTTGGTTGATGCATTTGCTAGATTTCTGAATGGCTCACATGCATATTCATTAATGTCATATCTACGCCAATGTACCAAATATTCTAACCTATTTTGAGGCTGCATTGAATCTAAGACTTCTTCCACTTCAAATTCTTCATTATTATATACTTCTATAGGAGGTGGTGGCATTTGTCTCCTTTCTTGTATATCCATTGCCTTGTATGGCTTAAGTAAAGACACATGGAATACATGATGGATTTTTATAGACTCCGATAGGTATAATCAATAAACAATTAGTTTGATCTATTTACAAATGGAAAATGGTCTAAGCCTATTATAATCTAGCTTATCACAAAGACAAATAGTTTTAATATTACGACAAAGTAATCATACTTTATCTTCTATATGGAATTGGGATTGTTTTTTATGATAGACATCTGCATTGGCTTTTTGTCGTTCTTGAGCTTCTTTTAATTGTGCCTTCATTATTGCATGTAGCTCTGACAATCAATTTGCTACATCTTCTGCCATAAGATTATCAACTTTTGAAAAGTCAAAAGTGTCAAATCATGAATGATAATCATAATTAGAAAAGAAAGATATTTGTTGAGTAGAAGAATGTACCGAATTATTACAAGTAAACTTTGCCAATGGCAAAAGAATTGTTCAATCATCTTGTTGATAGTTGATGGTACACCTCAAATACTATTCTAAAACTTGATTTATCCATTCTGTTTGTCCATCAATTTGAGGGTGGAAAGCCAAAGATAGTTTTATATCCTTCTTCAATATTTTGAAAAGAATTCTCCAAAATCTTGATTAAAACTGTGTTCTTTTATTTGATATAATATCCCTTGGTAATCTATGATAGCAATAGATGTTGTGAAAGAAGAGATTAGCTGTTCCTTCACATGTGATAGATTTTGTACATGGTACAAAATGTGCCATTTTCATCAAACAATCTATAATCACGAATATGGAATCATATGAACTTGAAATTGAAAGATCTATGATAAAATCTATAGAGATAAAAGACCATGGTTGTTCTAATATAGGTAATGGTTGGAAGATCCATAAGATTGATGATAAGGAGTTTTTGATCTTGAAGAAACATCACATGTCTGCACAAACTCTTTAACAGCCTTCCACATTTGAAACCACCAAAAATCTCTAGATATAAGCTCCAAAGGCTTATTATATCCAAAATGTCCTGCTACACAGAAATTGTGATGATCTTCAAGAGTATGTAATTCTGCTTCTTCTTTTGAAACATATAAGCGTCTTTTGAAATAGAGTAGGTTCTCTTTAATCTCAAACTTGGAACTATCTAGAGACTTAAAAGAATTGTTTTTAATATCATAAACAAGAAGGTGTGTAGACATACTTGCTTAGTTCTGCTTGAGAAAAGTACAATCAACAATCAATGTTGATTTCATTGCTTAGAGGTGAAATTATTTTGGCTTCAATAAAATTATCTTTTGTTAGTCAAAATCTGATTTTCATTCTTTTGGTATAAGATAAGAACCTCTAGAAAGGACATCAAACAAAGCTTGTTGTTTTCTTAGTCGATAAGTGATATTGAACTCAAATCTTCACAAAGACATGCTCCAACGAGCTTGGCAATGATTCAAAATACATGCTAATATGAAATACTCGAGGTTCTTGTGATTAATATATACAATGATTGGACTTGAAGTACCTTCTAAATAGTGATGCCATTCTTGAAAAGGATCTATGATTGCAAAAAGTTCCTTGTCGTAGATCTCATAATTAATCTCTACTGCTGAAAATTTTCTTGAATACAAAGCTATTAGATGAAGTTTGTCGTCTGCTCCTATTTGTAACAAGACTACACCCAAGGCAAAGTCAAATGTATTTGTCTCTATAAAAAATACTTAAAAAAAGTCGATGCAATGCAAGATTGGCATAAAAGTAAAAGCTTTTTTCAAAGCTTCAAATGATGCTTTTGCTTCTTTATTCCACTCGAGCTTGATTTTATAAGTTAAGCATATAAAAGGCGCTGTAACTTGAAAAAAGTTCTTGATGAAGATCTGATAGTAATTGACAAATCTCAAAAAGTATTGTACATTTCTTATTGTTTTTGAAATCTTCTAATTCATGATTGTGTGATTTTTTTTAAAATCCATCATTTGACCATTGTTTGAAATGATGTATCCTAAGAAGTCAACTTGAGTAGTGTAGAATATATACTTTTCCATCTTGATGTACAATTCTGCATCTCTAAGTTTTTGTAACACATGACGAACATGAATTTCATGTTTTTTTTGGCTTTTTTAGAATAGATTAAAAGATCAATTAAGTAATAGACAATAAAATCATCCACAAACTCATGAAAAATATCATTCATAAGATGTTGAAAAGTAGTTGATGCATTCATGAGTCCAAAAGGCATGAAAATATATTCAAAGTATCCATATCTTATTCGAAATGCAGTCTTCCATTCATCTCCTTCTTTAATGTGGACTAGATTGTATGTTCTTTGTAGATCTATTTTTGTATAGATCGTAGAAAAATTTAATTGATCAAAAAGTCTAGATATCAGAGGTAGAAGATATCTATTCTTGATAGTAATCTTATTGAGTCTTCAATAATCCACACAGTTATAATGATCCAATTTTTTTCTTTACAAATAAGATAAGAACTTCTGCAAGAGATTTTGAATGACATATGAAA